ATCAGGCTGGGTGGAGGCATCAGGCTGGGTGGAGGCAACAGGCTGGGTGGAGGTCAGGCTGATGGAGGCATCAGGCTGAATGGAGGCATCAGGCTGGGTAGAGGCATCAGGCTGAATTGTGGGCGCCGAGGCGCCAGGCTGCACCATGGGAAGGCAGGTTCTCAGATGGGAGGCTGACCGGTTTTGGATACTGGCAGGATGGTATTGGTTGAAAGAACTTTCGCCTTTTCCTGGTTTTAGTTACCGGAGTACTGTAAGTAAGCGCAGGTTTGTAAATGGATGGAGCAGCTGGAGACAGAGAAGAGCTGGAGGATGGAACAGGGGAGGGAACAGTTGCTACAGAGGGCTTCTTTACAGGGTTAAAGGCAGGATAGGTGCAGCGAGTGGGAACAGGGTACTGACATGCGGTAGATAGCAGGGTATACTGGGCTGTAACTGGAGGTGCTGTTGGGAAAGCAGGAATAGAGCTTTGAAGAAATAGATTTGAAGCAGGACTGGGTTTTTGCAAGCTGACTGAGGCTGGGTGCAACAAGTCTGACCATGTCTGCAGTATGGGTTGAACAAAGCTCAGCTTACACAAAGCCTGTCTGACCAAAGACTGCACTGCGTTTATACAATCCCTTAATACCTGTGGTGAACATGCAGCATAATGCTCCAAGAAGTAATCCACATCATCCTCTAATAACCATACCAGGGACTCTACCTGGTCTGCACTAAATGGCAGCAAAAATTCATCCCTGCATTCGGGGGGTACCAGATGAAACCAACTCAGCACAAACCTGAATCAATGGCTGCACCTCAGAGAATTCTGTGCCCTGATCTACTAGAACATGAGCGATCCGTATACATTCTAGCAGTTCATCCCTGGGATACTCCTTCAGAGTCTGATAAGCATATACTTATCTGATAAGCATACTCTCTGTCATCAAACACTAGCAGATATAAATACACAACCTCATCAAGATCCATCCTTCCCATCCCTGTGCAGCCACTTCTGGTCAGGATTGTCCTTGGTGTAATGTCAGGGCTCCGGGGTGTGACCAGAGGTATGTGACTGACGCAGGGAAACGCAGCTTCAGATATGTTATAAACAATAAGACAATTTATTAAAGACTAACAATACAAACATAAACGCAGTGCAATACTAAAACATAACACAGTGCAAACGAACCAAACCACCCACAGATAACAATATATATACAATGCAAGCGTCGTCAGGCAGGCCGGGTCAATACCAATCGGGCAGGTAGGAACAGGGGGTCAGGCAGAGAATGGTCGGGGTCACAAGCCAGGGATGAAACAGGAGAAGTCAGCAGAGGTCCGGAATCAGGCAGGGTCAGCAACGAATCAGACAGAGACAGAGACAGGAACAGGAATGCAGGAACAAGATACAGGGCCCAGGAAAAAACACACACCAAGGCAGAGACTGCAGGTCTGGCCATCCCTTAAATACACCTGCATGATCAGTTTCAGATGTTTGGCTGGCTGCAGGGTTGAGTCTCTGATTGCCGGGAGCACCCGCTGGCCAGCCCTGGTACTGCAGCCCACAAGGCAGGTGAGTCCCACCCATTTACTGGCAAGTCCATTCCTGACACAGTGCTACTTTGGAGCAGCAAAAGCAGGGCTGGATCAAGCTTATTTGATCTGGGGGTGCAGTAAAAATATGTCAGGGGGCATAATGGCAACATTATGTGTGAGTCACTGACTGTCACATAGTGTCATGACCTGGGAAACTTTATTATGTATTAGGTTGTCATCAGATTAGGGTGATTAAACAGAAACTGTGCCCACTTAACTCTTAAGTCCCTAGCAAAGTCCTCCTTTACAGTATGAGTCCTCATCAGAGTTCCTCTTTACATCATGACTACTCAGAAGAGTCCCCTTTTACAGCAGGTGCCCATGAGAGAGCCCCCTTACATCAGGTATCCCCATCAGAGTGCCCCCTTACATCAGGTGTTCCCATTTGTGCGCATCCTTACATCAAGTGTCCCCATCAGAATGCCCCCCTACATCAAGAGTGCCCATCAGAGTCCTCCCTTACATTAGTGTCCCTAATAGAGTCTATCCTTACATCAGTTGTCCCCATCAGAGTGTCCCTTTAGTGCCTGTTCACATAAATGTGGATTGGATGCAGTTTGAACTGCATCCAACCTGCATGACATGTGAAATAACATTGCTTCCTATGGTGCCTGTTCACATATATCTGGTTCACTGGTGGTGCAGATTCACTGCAGATTCAGTGCGATTTTAAAAAGAGTCATGTCCGATTTCTGAGCAGTGCGGTCTGGTTTAGGTGTGGATAATAGGCTATTGACTTTTATGGGAACCGTTTTTGAACCACATATGTGGGAACAAGATAAGATCCTGAGCTAATCCTGTCCTGAACCTGACGTAAACCTGACATGAACTACTGTATCAATTAGCTGTGAAATCTGAGCTTCAATCCACATCGCACACGTGCAAATTAGCTCTGACATATGATCAATTATCCCGATCAGAGTGCCTCTTGACATGAGGTGTCCCCAGCAGACTGCCCCATTACATAAGGTGCTCTCATCAGAGTGCCCCCTTTACATGGATTGTCCCCCTCAGAGTGCCTCTTTACATCAGCTGTCTTCATCAGACTGGCTCTTGGATCAGTGGATGTGCTCTCAGAGACCTGGAGGGGGGCACAACTAAAATCTGGGGTGTACAGCCCACCCCAGCACCCCCCTAGATCCGGCCTTGAGCAAAAGGAAGAAGTTTTGAATCAAGCTGTACTCTGATAGTTATCTATCTCATTGCTCCTGTTTAGCATTATCATGCAGTGTGAGAGAATTGGTGATGTCCGCTCCAGTGGCCACTGGCACTACAGTTTGTCCTCTATGATGGTGACACAGCAATGATTTGCAGTTGCACAGAATAGCAATGTAGTGTAGCAGCCTCAGAAAATAGGATCAGAGAAATTTGTAGCAATCTTTGCAACAGTCCTGACACTAACAGACCAAAAGATATTGTAGGACTAGGGCTTTAGATTTCATTGCCATGGCTAAGTAAAATGTATACAGCTACTGTAGATGCATAAACTGTGGTCCATACTGCAGTTCAACTCATATGGACATAAACATACTTATACGTGTATGAGATGAGATGCGTATTATGTACAGGTATAGTTCTTCTATGCCTGTTCCATTGTCACTGTGTTAATGACTGTTCACTGTGCACCTGCAACACTTCCACTAACTACATTTAAAACCCACCCTGGCCCTGAATTCACTAGGCAGCAGCCACATCCATTTACACTGCACAAATGTATAGCTTAACTGTTTAAATGCCTACAATATGAATATGGTCAAAATTGAGCCATAGACACAATTTTTTTCTCATTTTGATTTACACATTTAAACGCTATGAGCTAAAATTGGGGCTGTAGCATACAATACTACTGCTTGCATATCTGTATACATTACAGATCCAAAAGTAGCCTTTTGTATGCATATGTACATGAGCCCTTAAAGTGCAAATACCATCCAGGTGTAGCAAAACAAAAAGGTGTGGCAAAGTCTTATGCAGGCCATACATTATACAATTTTCTTGTTCAATTTCCTTTAGAACTACCTTCAACTATGTAGTGCAATGGCCTGCCTAATTGCTTGCAAATTGGAAGTGTTTAGGTCTGACCTCTTTTTATATGGTTTTGGTAAATCTAAATGAAAATTGTATACTGTATGGCCAGCCTTACAGTACATGTCCCCTGCTGCAGGCTCTCCAATCAGCATGTTTCCTTCTATACAGCATGCTGCCAGGAGAAAAGCTTTTCTACCCATGCTGTAGATGCTTTTTAAAAAAATATATTATTTGTTTAAATTTAGAGCATTGTACACTGGGCATTCCAAAACAATGAAACAAGTCTTGTAAAAGAATCATCAGTACATGTCACTGACAAAGAAGGCATAACCAAACTGTCTTTTTCCAAGTACAATTACCAATGAAATCTACACTATATTGCCAAAAGTATTGGGACGCCTGCCTTTACACTTACATGGAATTTAACACTTACATGGCATCCCAGTCTTAGGCTGGCCATACATTATACAATTATCTGCAGATTTTTGGTTTAGATTTACCAAAAACCATATAATAGGAGGACAAACCTAAACAACACTTTCAGTTGTATCCAATTAGGCAGGCCCTTGCACTACATAGTTGAAGGTAAATCTAAAGGAAATTGGGCAAAAAATCTGCAGATAATTGTATAATGTATGGCCAGCCTTAGTCTATAGGGTTCAATATTGAGTTGGCCCACCCTTTGCAGCTATAACAGCTTCAACTCTTCTGGGAAGGCTGCCCACAAGGTCTAGCAGTGTGTCTATGGGAATGTTTGACCATTCTTCCAGAAGTGCATTTGTGAGATCAGGCACTGATGTCGGACAAAAAGGCCTGTCTCGCTCTCTCCTTTCTAAATCATCCCAAAAGGTGTTCTATCGGGTTGAGGTCAGGACTCTGTGCAAGCCAGTCAAGTTCATCCACCTCAAGCTCACTCATCCATGTCTTTATGGACCTTGCTTTGTGCACTGGTGCTCAGTCATGATGGAACAGGAAGGGGCCATCCCCAAACTGTTCCCACAAAGTTGGGAACATGAAATTGTCCAAAATGTCTTGGTATGCTGATGCCTTAAGAGTTCCCTTCACTGGAACTAAGGGGCCAAACCCAACCCCTGAAAAACAACCCCACGCCATAATCCCCCCTCCACCAAACTTTACACTTGGCACAATGCAGTCAGGCAAGTACTATTCTCCTGGCAACCGCCAAACCCAGACACGTCCATCAGATTGCCAGACAGAGAATCGTGATTGGTCACTCCAGAGAACACGTCTCCACTGCTCTAGAGTCCAGTGGCGGAGTGCTTTACACCACTGCATTTGATGCTTTTCATTGCACTTGGTGATGTAAGGTTTGGATGCAGCTGCAGCTGTTGTTGTGCTAATCTGAAGGCCACACGAAGTTTTGAGATCTTTAGCTATTGACTATGCAGACTTTTGGTGACTTCTGCGCACTGTGCGCGTCAGCATGCACTGACCCCGCTCTGTCATTTAACATGGCCTACCACTTTGTGGCTGAGTTGCTGTTGTTCCCAATTGCTTCCACTTTGTTATAATACCACTAACAGTTGACCATAGAGTATTTAGTAGCAAGGAAATTTCACAGATGACTTATTGCACAGGTGAGAACCTATCACAGTACCACGCTTCAATTCACTGAGCTTCTGAGAGCGACAGATTCTTTCACAAATATTTGTAGAAGCAGTCTTCATGCCTAGGTGCTATTTTATACACCCGTGGCCATGGAGGTGATTGAAACACCTGAATCCAATGATTTGGAGGGGCGTCCCAATACTTTTGGCAATATAGTGTATATGAACATAAAGAGTGACTTTGGAACAAAAAAGTACTTGGGCTCGGTGTCTTGCAAGATTCAAAAGTATATTACCTATGGATTTTGTACAAGATGTGTGGGAGTAAAAATCTTTAAACTGGAAGCCTATGCAGTAGGGTAATGGCAATGAGCTGCACATTGTAGAGGTTTTACCAGCATACACTTTTGAAGATGTTTTTCAAAGAAAATTAACTGCAAGACTTTGCAATTGTGCTTTAAGGGTTCTTACACATTGGCAGAAGTGCTTACCTCCATGTAAAAAGCAATCTCCAGTAGATCCCTTTTCTGAGGACTGTATAGCAGCTGCTGGCAGGTGTTCAGGAGATGATACTGCTGTCTCCTGAATATTTGCTTTTTTATTTTATCCCAAAGGGGATTTAATGTAAAATACTACACCACAATCGCGAGCCAAGCTTTTAGCTTTCCGATGTGGCGGTACCTCCTGTCAAACACTGCAGGCCGAGTTAAAATGGTCTTGAAACATACTATCAATGCCATGGCATGTGTACAGTCCTGTCTGATTTAATGTTAGAATTGAGGGGGACGTTGGTAAAACTGTGGCTCAGCTGCTTGTTTTTACTGCTGTTCATTTGAAAGAGGCATAAGATGTCCTTAACTGTAGTTTTAAATTTTGTGAGAAAATGCAAACAAAAATATTGCAGCTGAAAGACTACACATGCTTTGGTTACACATGTATACTTTGAAAACCACAAAAGGAATAGAATAATTATTCTATACAGTATGTAAGAGGGCCCTGTCTGCAATCCATACTAATACTAATGTTAATTCAGGCAATGTTGAGAAGATGTCAAAAAAGTTCATTGAGATTACCCAACTATTCAATGCTGCTAGATTTAAAAAAATCTAATACAAGTTCATAGGTAGCTCTACAACCTTGAGTTAAACCATTCTGTGTTCCAGTCTTCTTTATGTGTAAGACAGTCAAGAGAGTACAATGGGCAGGTTTGCAAATAGGTGGCCTTCAGATCTGTATAGCAATAAAATCCAAAGCTGCATACAAAGGCATGCTTTGTACCCTCTATTTTTATTACAGTAGATGAAACCCCAATGATAACAATCTCATATGCGCTTGAACATGTTGCTATAATTTTAAAAGCTGCTTTTAATCTTAATAGAAGAGAAGTTTGGTATTTGTTTTTAAATTATACTTACCTAGGCAGATACATTATTGATCCTATGCTGCATCTGTCCCATCGGCTCTAAGGCTCAGAAATGCACTGCTGATCGCTCAGTTCTCCCTGCCACTCTGAGCAGAGAGCTGTGACTGTCAGTCACCACTGTCTGCTCTACACACCCCCCCCCCCCCCCCCCCCCCCCCAGCGCTCACTGGAGCTCTGGGTTGTGGAGCGGGTAGGAGCGACTGGCTCAGGCTCTCAGCGGATTGCTGAGAGGCTGAGTCAGGTGCCAGTCCAGGTTACATAGTTAGTCTGGCTTAAAAAAGACAAAAGTCCATCCCATTTAACGATTCAAAAAAAAAAAAGTTGTAATCCTATACCCACAGTTGATCCAGAGGAAGGGAAAAAAAACCTACCAAAGCATGATCCAATTTACAGGGAAAAAAATTCCCTCCTCAGTAGATCTCGACCATATGGTCGTGATCTTTCCCCAGTCTGGACTGGCTGAGTGATGTCAGCCAACGGTGGGTCACAGGAGAGCAGAACAAACTGATTTGCATTTCCCGGTAGGGGCGTGCACGCGTGCGCCGCCCTACCCGTGCCGCCATTGGGGGCTAGGGTTGTTAATCACCGGGTCGTGGCCAGAGATTCCCCGCCGGCAATCGTCGCAAAGCTGACAGGGGAGAGACCTGTGTTGTTTACAAGGACAAGCTGCACAGCAGAGCAATACAAAGCAGCATGTCTCCCTAGTAAAAACACACACAGCACATAATGTAAAACAGCACACAGTTAACCATTTGATCGCCCCCAGATGTTAACCCCTTCCTGCCCAGTGTCATTAGTACAGTGTCAGTGCTTTTTATTAGCACTGATCACTGTATTAGTCTCATTGGGATGTCAGTGGCAGTTAGTCAATTCCCCCCCAGTGTCAGAATGCTCACTGCAGTTCCACTATAAGTTTCTGATCGCTGCCATTACTAGTATAAAAAAAATAAAATTTAAAAATTCCAGTATATATACCGCCATTTGTAGCTTTAGAACTTTCACATAAACCTATTAACTTACATGCATTGGGATTTTTTTTAGCAAAGACATTTAGCAGAATACATTTTTTCCTAAATTTATGAAGAAATTAGATTTTTAAAATTTTTTTACTATATATGTTTTATAGCAAAAAGTCAAAAATATTGTTTTTATTTCAAAATTGTGTCTTTTTTTGTTTATAGCGCAAAAAAAAAAAACAAAACACAGAGGTGATCAAATACCACTGAAAGAAATCTCTATTTGTGAGAAAAAAAGGACATAAATTTCATTTATGTACAGTATTGCATTACCGCATAATTGTCAGTTAAAGTAATGCAGCGCCGTATCGCAAAAAATGGCCTGGTCAGGAAGAGGGATAAATCCTCTGGAGAGTAGTGGTTAAAAACATTTTAGACTCTAATGAAGCAATAGAGTCCAGTATGGATATTTAGGAGAAAACACTGGCATTCTCATTTAATATCCATACCCTTATCTAGGATACGGATGTGATATTGATTTTGGAGGGAAACCACATTTTTTTTCCTGTGGTCTCCCTCCCAAGTGGCATACCATGTAGGATGTACTGCAACAGCCCTGGTATTTTGTGGGAGAAAAAAAATTTTTAAAAAACATCTTCAAAAAAAATCATCTATTGCAAATAAACAACATGAGGGCCACCCCAAAATCTATACCAGACTATGATGGAGTCTTGTATAGATTAATGGGGGAGATAACAGAGTTTGCCTGGAACCCATGATACCCATTGGTAGAGGCAGGGTTTTGTTTTTGTCATATTAATCTGGGGGTTCTTCTGCTTTCTGACTCCTGTCAATATATTAATTTGATGTAGTTCACACATAAGCATCATCTCAAGAATCTGTGAATGAATAAACTACAGTACAAGTCCCATCTGCTACCAAGACATGTCACTGCACTTTTAATCCATTGCTAGTTCCTCCAGTGCCATAGTTTAAGGTCCATACCTCAGTACTGACCTGCAGCTACAGGAATAGTCCAAAGGAGCCAGAGCATTGCACCTCCAATTTACTGATTGCAGTTGCAATGCTTTACAGGCTAAAATGCAAAAAAAGTAATGAAAGCATATTTATTTTATTAATTAACATGGCGCATTTATTATTTTTGGTAAAAGGTGAAATTAGGTTTTAACCCTTTAAAAGACCTATCTCCTTTAACTAACATTGTTAGAAAAGAAAGCCTCTGCAGAACAGGTTATCCTTTGGTCAGGCAAGGAACATTTACATAAGTGACCTCCAAGCTATGACTTGGAAATAATCCAGCCTTCTAATCTGCACTGTATTCACAGAAAAAGTACTCTAAGAAAGGGGAGAGCAGAGTGAGCTGAGCTGCTGAGAGAATGACTTAGGTGACCTTAGTGTAAATGTATTTTATGAAACTCTCTCATCCATGTCTTTATGGACCTTGCTTTGTGCATTGGTGCGCAACCGCCAAACCCAGACATGTCCATTGGATTGCCAGACAGAGAGGTGTGATTCGGCACTCCAGAGAACACGTCTCCACTGCTCTAGAGTCTAATGGTGGCGTGCTTTACACCACTGCATCCGACTCTTTGCATTGCACTTGGTGATGTAAGGCTTGGGTGCAGCTGCTCAGCCATGGAAACCCATTTCATGAAGCTCTCTACGCACTGTTGTTGTGCTAATCTGAAGGCCACATGAAGTTTGAAGGTCTTAACTATTGACTCCAGAGACAGTTGGCAACTTCTGCTCATTGTGCGCTTCAGCGTGCACTGACCCAGCTCTGTCATTTTACGTGGCCTACCACTTTGTGGCTGAGTTGCTGCTGTTCCCAGTTGCTTCCACTTTGTTATAATACCACTAACAGTTGACCGTGGAATATTTAATAGCAAGGAAATTTCATGGATGACTTATTGCACAGGTGACAACCTATCACAGTACCACGCTTGAATTCACTGAGCTCCTGAGAGAGACCCATTCTTTCACAAATGTTTGTAGAAGCAGTCTGCATGCCTAGGTGCTTGATTTTATACACCTGTTGGCATGGAGGTGATTGGAATACCTGAATCCAATGATTTGGAGGGGTGTCCCAATACTTTTGGCAATAAAGGGTATGTGTGCATATTAAACACTAGTAATTCTGATAAAGCATGTATAAACGTCTGGCATCAGACTATCACATTAATTGTAAAACATTAACATATTCATCCATGTGATCTGCTTAATCCTCCAACTTTCAGCAAATCTCTATTCCATGATATCTTCTAATGGCTTACAATATCCAACAGATATGTACAAAAATATGTATGTAAGAACAAGGCAGCTGTATTGTGCTGATACCTGCCAGTACGTGCTCTATAAACAATAAAAGAAGATTTACCCTTTTACTGATAGCGATGTAAGGCTTTAACACTTTTGACAATTTTTAATAAATTGTTTTATACTTTACAGAAAGCAGAATGGGGATTTTTTTTATACTTTATGAGTGTGTATGCATGGATAAGAACATCGCTTTTGACTCCTTAAGGTGATCTTATCTTTAAAGGGACACAGGCTTTATTGGACATTATTGTTTATGTGAGGTCCTATGAGGTCTTGAGAACAAGGTTACCGCATACATTGAGTGATACCTGGCTCTACGGGTGGTTGAAGTAATTGGAAGAATATGGAGTTATTATATGAGTGAAGTTCACTGGTGTATTGTTCATAGGAGTGAAGACACAATGCAAGTGTTTGTGATGAACTATAGGCATGACATAATGCAATTGCACAGTGAATACTGTATTGAACTTGAATAGGCACTCAATACTTTACACTTGAATGAATTTTCACTGGGATGAAATAGTTTGTATTTTATGATTTTGCTGTATACAGTCACAACGACACATAGGAGGTTTACTTACCAAAGCTGGAAAGTGCAAAATTAGTCTCACTTCTGCATTGAAACCAATCAGCTGACAGGTTTTATTGCCGAAGCTGTTACTAAACTCAAGACCCTACATTCAGTCTATCTGGTCTCCCACAGTATATACTACGTGGAAATGAAATTATTTTAGTAAATATAAACTAACAAATACCTTTTCTCATCAGCAGTTAGAGCAGTCTTGCGACTTCTAGCAGTATCCAGCAGAGCACTGGTTAAAGCTTGTAGGAGGAGTTTTCTTTCTTCTCTAGGAGGATGCAGACCCCCTGACTTCTGTCTGTACAGTATTGATTGGCCTTTTGCTGATCACATGCACTCTCCCAAGGAAAAAAAAAAAAAAACCTCTAGCAATACACACTAAACTGAGCATGTGCAGAATGTCTGCACATGATGTCTTATCAGGAGATTACAGGGAGACACTAGAGGAAGGGGAGGATAAGAGAAGTCAGGATCAAACAACATTTTTAAACAATGCAGAGGATTAGCCCCTTAGGTTTCACAGTGAGTATAACAAGCATGTTTTACTGCATATACAGACTGATTTTACTGTTGTGGGTTTAGTAACACTTTAATTGAACAAGGTTAGGTTAGAAGCTGATTGGTTTCTATGCAGAAATTAGCGAATTTTGCACTTTCCATCTTTAGTAAATAAACCCCAGTGACCTTTCTTTTGGTGGTATTTACTAACCACTGAGTTTTTTTTCTTGATAAAGGGAGAAAGACCAAACATTTTATAAAACATAAAAATAAAAATGCCAGGGCAGTATGAACACCTCCAAAATTACCCTATTTGTTAAGTAGACACACCAAGGTAACAAACAATAAATATTTTATAACAAGATGCAACGCTAATTACTATACAAAATCTAAAATATAAAGTGCAAATAATATAAGGTGCAGTTCACAAAATAAGTCCCTAAAGTACAGCTGGAAATCATATGAACCCTGTGTCTAAAAAGACAAAAATGGGGTTCATATGATTTTTGCCACAATTTTTGTAAATATGCTTGTATTGAGATAGTTAAAGTGGTTGCAAAGGCTAAAGGCTTTTTTTTTTTTACCTTAATGTATTCTCTGCATTAACGTAAAAAACCTTCCAAGACTAGCTCTCTCCCCAGCTCCCCTAAATACTTACCTGAGCCCGGACTGGATCCAGCACTGCTCTCTCGCTCTCTCACTGGACTGGAGACAGCAGCAGGGCCATTGGCTTCTGTTGCTGTCAATCAAATTCAGTGAGGAGTGAGCCAAACTGTGCTATTTGTGTCCATAGACACACAATGCCCAGCTCAAAAGCGAGACCATATGTTTGCCCCCATAGCAAGCACTTGCTATGGGGCAGACACTGAAAGGAGAAGCAGACAGCACCAGCAGGGGGAACCTCGTGGGAGGCGGCTCGGAGCTATAAGTATAATATGTTTGTTATTTAAAAAACAAAAACTTTATTAACTCTTTAACCTCCTTAGCGGTATTCCCGAGTGTAGCTCGGGGTAAAATTTCTATACCAAGAGCAGTAACCCCAAGCTACACTCCAGCTTACCATGCGGCGTTGCTCAGGGAGTCCCTGCAGCACTTACCTTGTCCTTCGCTCCCACGATGCGTCCCCTGCAGCGTCCCCGGCCATCTCCTCCGGCCGATGCCGGCATCCGGCTTCCGTGTTCCGGTCCCTGTGACGTCGGGACGTACGGGCGCCGGAACCAGTGGCAAATTTGAAATTTTTAAAAAATTAAAATTTTTTTTAAAATGACTATTACAACGATTTTGCGACAGCGATGTGTGTGAATTTGACTCTGTATTTCAAATTTCTGTGTTTTTGTGTTTGATTATATTATTGAATTAAATTTATTATTATTATATTATTATTTTTTATGATTATTTATTAAATTATCATTTATAATTTCGTGTTTCAAATTTTATCCTACCCGGGATGTTTACTAGACTCTTGTTCGTACAGATTTCAGTGAGTTATTCCTAAAAATTACAGCCTACAATAAAAAACTACATATTTCCAGGCAAAAAAATGGTACCGCTTTCAGCACAAAAAATCGGAAATAATCAGACCGCCGAGGAGGTTAAACATGGAGGTTGGTAGTGGTGCACTAGATACAGCCCATCAATAATGTACAAGTCATACACAGGAAGAAGGGTGGGTGAAGGGATTAATGTACAGGTCTCTTACAAGGTGCAGATAAGATGTGCAGCCCACTCAGGGGGGATGGGTAAAAGGGTTTAAAAGACCCCACTATCAACTCAGTTAAAACCTCCCAGTTTGAATACAATCCTGCCTACTTCCCTTCCTACCATGCCTCAATTCAGTCCTCCTTCCTCCATTGTAAGATGAAGGGAAGGGATCTCTGATGTAAACACAGGCAGTGTTTACATTTCTGATTGCTGTAATTGGCTATCAAAGTAATCACTAGCTACAGAGCATAATGGGACCCTTAGAGAGTTGGGAAACGCAGAAAGAGGCAGACCACAAAGCAACCAGAGAGGGCAGACATTCAGATCTCCTGCTACAGGTATTTATATATGATGTACATGTGAGATGTCCTAAATGCCAAGGTCTGGCTTATAACCCAAAAGTATGCATTAAATGTTTCTGGCGGTGATATTTTCAATACAACTGTGACAGATGCATTTTCTTTGCTTTGAATTTTATTTCACTGAACCACATAACAGTATCCTAGTAACGGTTTACATTTTCCTGTAACAATTTCTCAATGAAGCCAAAACAAGATGTTTCAAAAAAAAACAAGTAAAAGGTTTCTGTTCCTAAGCATAATAAACATGCCACCATGTTGTTATTATTTAACTAGTCTAAAGAACCCAATATATTCACCATACATTTATTCACTGGTATTTCTTACCCTTTCACCAATTTTTACAAAGCCATAAATGTGTTGTCTGTGAATGCTTAATTCTGAGATGAGGATTGTCTAATATACAGTAGGAGCATTTTTTGACTGAATGTGCAGTGATTTTTTTTTTACATAGAATATGATTTGGAAGGTTCTTATTTAGCATGCAGTCTGACTCTCTGCCTTTGGAAATGGTATTTTACCTGTTTAACTAAATTCAATAAATGTATGCAAATTTCTCTCTAGAAATATGTATCTAATAATCTTCAAACTACAAATATATTACTCTTTGTATCAACCTCAGTTAACCCATTCTCAGTTTAGCATATTTTCAATCTGTTTGCACCCTGTTTTAACTCGTGCATTTTTCATACAATATGCTTTGTAGAGTTTATATAAAATAGCTTTTACACGATATCAGTTAGTTAGAACTGGGACTTGAACTCATAGCCTTGGCTGTGTCCAGCAGTGGCACTTCTTGCTAAACCACCCGAGATACTAGACAGTTCCCACCTGAGATACTGGACAGTTCCCATCTGCTCCTTTGGACTTTCTTGCCTTGTCTCTTGTTTCTGTTAAGCCCTAAACTCTTTGCTCCTTCCAGAACTTCCCAATTTAACCTCCCTAGCGGTCAGATTATGTCCATATTTCTGTGCTCAAAGCGGTACTTTTTTTGCATGGAAATATGTATTTTTTTTATTGTAGGTCTGTAATTTTTAGGAATAACTCACTGAAATCTGTCCGAACAAGAGTCTAGTAAACATCCCGGGTAGGATAAAACTTGAAACACAAAATCATCAATTATAATTTAATAAATAATCATAAAAAATAATAATATAATAATAATAAATTTAATTCAATAATATAATCAAACCAAAAACACTGAAATTTGAAATATAGCACCAAGTTCACACATCACTGAGCAAAGTCGCAAAATCGTTTTCAGTGTCTGATGACGAATTTCCCCACGAATCATCACTCAATTCTGCAAGTAGTTCTAATTTACTATCGCTGTTCTCTAGCTGCTCTAAAACCGCTTTTGACCTAAAGGGATGCTTTTTGGATGCCATGGACGTTTCTCAGTTTCCAGGCAGAAAGAACAGTAAAAATGCAGGCAGGGCACAGGACAAAGCACTAGGGACAAAATGTATGTGAAATTGTTTGATACAGTAATGTTTTACTATGTGATTTTAGTGAATGTCACTTTTTGTCATTTTCAAATTTCCCGCCGTTCCATCCCCTGTATGTCTCAAG